ACATCGACATCAAGTTCTCCTGACAATTTACGTTCTTCTCAGAAAGCTCCGTGTCGAAATGGGTTAAAGTGCTTCAATTCATTTTGTAAATTTAATCACCCATCTGGGTGGAATGCATGCGAACGTGGGGCGAAGTGTAAAGACTTTGATTGTCAGGCAAATCATCCGTTTGATCGAAAAAAACGCTGTAGAAAAAGTGGTGCTTGTATGAGACGCAAATGCGACTTTTTACATCCAGTAAAATTGTCAGACAAATGTCAAGATGGGATTGCATGTCGATTTTGGAAATGTGAAAAATGGCATCCTGGAGGCCGTCCAAAAGATTGTTCTTTTGGTAAGCAATGTTACAATACAGCCTGTCAAAGTGTTCATCCATCTGATAGACGACTGTGTCCACACAATGGAGAATGTACAGAAATCAATTGCCAATTAGATCATCCTAAGAGTCGTGCGATTCCTTGTACAGAAGCAAGTTCCTGTGATAATTATTTTTGCCAACTTTTGCATCCTGATGATTGGGATCCGTGTGAAAAAGGCAGCGAATGTGAAAATCCAATGTGTCCCCACACTTGTCATCCACTGAATTGGATTTTACGTCAACAGCAAATACAAAGCGACGCCGAACAACACTCACAATCGTGCTCAATATTAAAATCCGTCGAACAACGTAATATCGAACGAGAAAAGGTACAATTACCTATTCTCGCTGCAAAAGACGAGTTTTGCCAACAATTGGAAAAAGAACGAGTACTTTTTGTCACAGCAGAAACGGGCAGTGGCAAAAGTACTCAACTACCTCAGTACGCTGCTGAATACTTTGGTGGTTTGGTCATTTGCACTCAACCAAGAGTGATCACAGCAATGTCGCTTGCGCGCCGTGTAGCCGATGAATATGATGGAAGCTCGGTGGGAAAATCAGTTGGGTATCGAGTTGGTCAATCTAGTGTTGGAAAAGAGAGAAATAGAGTTCCTGGAACAGATATTCTCTTTATGACTGACGCTATTTTTATTCAAGAGAGTCAAGACGATGATCAAGTGAACAATGTTCGAGTGTTGATTATCGATGAAGCACATGAACGATCATTAAATACCGATATTGTTTTGGGAATTGCAAAACTGTTACTAAATGCACGACCAACCGATTTCTATGTTGTCATTGCTTCAGCTACTGTTGATCCGACAAAGTTTCTCGAGTTTTTTCAGCAAACAAATGTCCACGTACTGGAAGTTCCAGGTCGCATTTATGATGTGTCGCTCGAGTATATTCCCTGCAAGGATGGGCCACTCCTGCAACATGCCGTTTCTACAACACAGAAATTGTATGATAAGCATCAAGGACATACATTGGTATTTCTTCCTGGACAACGTCAGATTGAGGATGCTATACAGCTTTTTAATCAAAGAATACCTGATAATTGCGTTGCATTGCCGTTGTACAGTGCTCTTTCGCTAGAAGAGCAAGACCGAGTACTTCAATTCGATGAAGATCCCGATGGCATTCGTCGAATGGTCGTTTTCTGTACGAATATTGCTGAAACATCTCTGACGATAAAAAATACCTGTCTCATCATTGATTCTGGACTGGTCAAACAACCTCGTTTCGACCATGAAAATCGTCTGACAGTGATTGAAACTGTACAAATTTCCCGTTCATCTGCTGATCAACGCAAAGGAAGAGCCGGTCGAACAGCACAAGGACATTGTGTGCGCCTCTACTATGAAAATGATTTGATTCGTCCTGACATCGAACCCGAAATTCTTCGAGCCTCACTTGATCGTGCTGTTCTTCAACTCATTTATTTGGAATTGAAACCACAGGAATTTCCGTTGATCGATCAACCTGAACACACAGTTATCGAAGCATCATTAGAGCTTTTGAAAGATCTTTCTTGTATTGATGATGAACACATCACCAAACGAGGGAAGCTTTTTGCGAAACTTGGTCTTGATCCTCGTTATAGTGCATTCTTGCTTGATACCTACCTTGAACGTGCTGAGATTCTCGAATTGGCAGTTACGATTGTGGCCATTTTAGCAGCACCCGGTCCCCTATTTTTGGTGGGTGGTCTCACTGACGAGGAGAAACAAATCGTCCAAAATCGCATTGCCGATGGTGCTAAGCAACATGACAGTGATTTGTTTCATTTTGTTTCAATTTATAAAAAATGGCACATCGCAGGTGCTCTTGATCCAGTCACGCGCACCTGTTTGACATGTAGAAAATCTTGGAAAATGGAATATTCATGCCGAGAGTGTCGGGCAGCATACAGTAGGAGTGTGTTACTCAACAACAAAATTCTGAATATTGTCGAAAATGTTTGCAAGGACTTGATCGAGACGATCAACGATTCGCGTTGGCAACTCAACCCTGGGTCATTATCGAATGTAAATGAAAGTGATATCATTGGTGGCAATCTCTACAAGTATTTTCCGAACCAATACGGTATTTTCCGCAGAACACTTAAGACAATTGGAAAGGTCCATATGATTGAAAAAGGATTCGATGCATGTATAAAAAATATCAGTATTTTCGCCCATCGACAAATTGCTAATCCTCATTTTATGGCGATGTCACTGGTGAAATTGTCTTCTGGTCATTATTTGGTTGATCGATTGCATCCGTTTCATCCACCTGATTCGGTTAAAAGCGACAGAAAAAATAGTAGCCTAATCCCTACGGAGTCAGAATCTGGAATAGAATAAAACTCGTTTTATCTCTAAATAAAAAGCTGTATCATGACATTTTTCTACAGTTGTTGTAAATTGAAAGACAGAAGTTATTCACCACTGGTCGACGTTTTTGTAGGTATGCTTGCAAGATTCTTGTCTTTTGCCATTTCAGACAAGAATTCTCAATTTTGTCTTGATAGATCAGACATGATTCTTCTTTTAATTCTTTACTGATTTTTCATCTTTTTTCGTTAAAGACTCTTGTCTGAAGTGGCAAGATTTGTTGACGACAAAATCACCAATTTGTTTTGTCGATTCCCCTGCTATATATAAGTTACATAGTATAGCTCAATACTATACATACAGATATCTTTAATAAATCTTTTAGATCTCATAAGATTCTTGTCCAGAGACGATCGAGTCTTTACATGTGCCTGTACTGACATCAGAGCGTCCAGCTCCTTTATATATGAAAAGAAAAAGAAAAGAAGACGGAAAATGGATTATATATGCATTCTATTTATTTCCAAGATTCTTTTAAGAATTACAAGACAAGATTCTTAAAAAATGAAACAAGAATCTTGCAGGAAATCGCTTTCTTGTGCAGTCAGATTGTACGTTTAATCGATCAAATGAGAAAAAATATCGATTAGATTACTGCTAAAGACGATTACATGCCCAAGCTGTTGAAATATAAGATATTTTTCTCCCTTGAACTATTCTGATCAAATATCTGCTTTTTCTCTGCCAAAACAACTGAGAGTGACATATTACAAAGCAACTCGAACTCAGCGATAAAACATCTTCTCTTCACACAAATCGATAAATGGGAAACAGAATCGGTGAACAAAATAACGTAAGCGTCTAGCGATGCTCGAAATCAGTTTCAACAACGCTTAACTGGAAACAATGAAAGTGTTTCGAGGAATAACTGATGATTTCAGATCTAGACAGATAACTGAAGATTATGTTGAACCGAATCTCGATCAATGGACAAAAGAACTGAATAAAATCAAAGATGAAATAAACCGATCGAAAAACATCGATGTCTGTGAAGATTCGTCTGCTCTCAGTGACGCTGATTCAAGTTATGTCATGTCAGGCACACGTCGAGTACCACCCAAGTACAGCAGAAAGATTTAGTGAAGTTCGTGGTGACATGGAAGGGAGTGAGAGAGAGTGGCCGATTAGTTGTTACAAAGTCTAAAGCTAATGCAAGTGTTTATGGTACTATTTTGTTTTCAAGCGGTGTTTTGAACGAAATCGTGAAAGCATATAACTGGATATTCTTCGGTATTATATCCTCTTCAGATCAAAGACGGAAAGATGCTCGCACCTCGCCATCTGCTTATGAATGGTGTGGAATTAACAAAAAACACACTTGGGTTATTTTTTGAATGGTGCTGGCAATGAAGGTTATGGTAGTTTTGATGGTGATATCATTGATAACGACAGGCTAGAGCTAACAGTAAACTGAAATGAGAGAAAGATTCAGTTGTTGTCACGTCGTCATCTGCTTATGAAATGAGTGAAATATACGGTTTTTAATTTTTGACAGTAACAGGCAAAGAACCGGGTTTGTGCCAACCATTAGCACTATTTTTTCGGAATAAAATTATAAAGATCCCAAGACAAGACTTCACAAAATATGGCAAAACCTTGTTGTAAGAAACCATATGAACTTGCGGGAATTTACAGGACTATACAAGATTCATAAGGCTTTCATCTGAACATTTCACTTGTTCAGGTGACTGGTTTTTGCTATCATTTTTATTGATATTTTCTAACATAGACAGAATCTAAACGTCCTGAGGATTGTCTTTAGTTACGTTCCAATGCCATGTGGTTGATTTTGTGCTCAGCTTAAGTGTGAAGTTGAACGTAAAGAAAAAAAAACAGACGTGTTCCATAAGAGAATTGTCATAGTTTTTCCAGTGCTCCCGCGAACTGATTGAGCTAAATCAATGACTGCAAAGGTTTTTAAACGCATTCTTTCTACGAGAAATGTCCATAGCAGTATATTCTCCCTAGCATCATATATCGTTAATTAGAAGAGAAGGTGGAATTTTGTATTTAAAACCGTTAATCACGTGGACAACTTACAATCAAAGCGTCAGTCAGAATAATCGTTTAGAAAACCGTTCATTTATTCAAAAGGACGAGTCCTCAGAAAAAAACTAATCAATAGTATATAACATTATGGGAAGTATTCTGTCAAATAATTCGATATTACTTTTTTAGTGATGTATCAAGATGTGTCAATTTTATACAGAATCTCAAAACGTGTCTCTAGAATATTAAACATTGTCAAATCAATTGAGAAAATGTATTTAATATGGCGTGATAATTGCCGATTGTCCATCGATTTGTTTTCGATTAAGATTTCCTTTGTAATAAATTTTGGCTAAACCTATCGCTTCAGCATTAATTTCATCTGTAACAGTCACATATGCCGTTGAAACACCGGACGAATGAATATCCATCTTTTTACACAAAAAATCCCGAGCATCTAGTGATGTTACACCACTTTGTACAATCGATGCTGCTTGTTCAACTCTTCCACGCAATCGAATATGACCGGTACCACTTAGATCAGCTTGAAATCGAAAAATGTCCAAAATTAAATGAAGATTTCCTGTACCTTTCTTTATTAATACAAATTCACTATTGTTAGACTGACGCATCGGATTTATAGATTGAACACTGCCTGAAACAATGAAATTACGTAAAAGTGATTTAGCCGATATATACGTACAGACTCCCATATTTCATTAAGAAGAAATATTCAAATAAACAAAAATGGCAGAATTCGTATTGAGCAAGATGACTGTGATATACTAACCTGTTCCATCAACTTGTAATTTGTTTAACTGTCTGAATGTAACATGAACTATTATTTTTAATGGTTGTTGATAAATGAAACTCGTATTTAAACCAATATTGAGAATGTGAGCATTCTTGATATTGATGACAATGTAATCTTGAAGATTTGAATCTGTTTCTACTATCAATTCTTCTTTTGGATAATCAGCTCTTTGAAGTAATTGATAATCAATTACACCATTTACATGAATTTCATCAAATGAATTAGTCACAGAATAATTTTGACGAACAGTATTTTTATTACCAACAATAGGAGATGATGTAATACTCGATAGCCTAGCAAATTGCATTAAATAAAAGATAACCGACATGAACATGAAGGGCATATTGAACTAAAGAACAGAGTAAAATCGGTACAATTTTAGAGGAATGGCAAAATATATGCATCTAGTATAAAGTCGGTGCATCTAGATATAAAGATGGAAGCAGCTCACTCTCATCTTCTCCCTCCCCCATCTTTTGTCTCTTTTCGCCTTCCATCTTTACATTTAGATGCATCGACTTTATACTAGATGCATATATTTTGCCACGTATGAAGAAGTATTTCTAAGAGTTTACTCACTCTAACTACTTTGTAAAAAAAAATGTCTCTGTACCGAATCTTTGATGGTTTATGCTTTCGAAACAAAGTCCAAATCTTTAAAGGTTTGGTTCAGAAAAAGACTTTCTGGCAAATTATGTACTTTTTTATTCAGAAAAAAGGTGCGTTTACGAGGTCCTTTTGCTTAATTTTTTCGACATTGAAGCATAGGTTCAAGAGTCTATTCTAGGCTCAGAGGATACAGAATTTCCTGCTGTACAATACACAATAACTTTGGTATTTACATAGTACTTCGTTATCTAAAAAATTACAAATAATGAAGACAAGTAAAAATGAAAATTGCGATGCTGTTAGAAAGAAATCTTGGTTTTGACAATATTCAAGCGCTTTGTGACACGAAAAATAAAAGCCAAGGGCATAGGATGTGAATGAAAATGTTCAGCGGTTTCTAGACTATCATTGTGATGAAAACTGCTCGCAAAAGGCATACTATGTTGGCCTAGAACTTCGTCATAAGCATTTCCAGTTTTGCTGCTAAACAGAAGAAGTTGTGAAGCAACGTAACGAAACAATAACTTATGAGTGCAAACGGTATTTGAAGCATAGAAAATTGACTATCGTTTACACTAATAACAATACACTAATAATACCTTGAGACTTTAGCGTATACAGGCTATGGCTTGTTTAATCGAGCATACCGACAAAAAAGTGCAAAGAATTCTCCATGTTCTGAGTTATGAAAGAGTCAGAGAGCAATAACATACTGATAGATTCGCGAAGTCTTGAAATTGTTAAACACTATTCATTTGTGTTTCCAGATATGTTACAATAAAGTCTTACCTCTAAAGAAGGTTGCTATATTTTTTGGCAAAAGAATTTAAGCTACTGAACTAGTTTTTTTTTCACGAGAATATTTATATTTATATATGTCTACAATATTAAAATCATTCTGCTTCTTTTAGCTCTATTCAGGCCATGTTTAATATAACAGTCAAGCACAGATATCTATTTTTATCTAGAATTTATCTTTTTGATATCGAATGACAAACATACGTCTATATGTCAATTAAGACTGACTATCTAAAACATTTGACGAACAAAAGCGGTTATTAGGGTTTCTTTTTTAACTGGGCGTTTATTGTGACGGTCAGAAGTGCTCACAAGAAAAACAGATGATAACAAATGATACCAGAAAGAAAATATATCATATATTTTCTTTCTGGTATTCAATATGATATTGAATACAATTCAACTTATATATCTAGATAATGCACGATGATAGATATCATTTATTTACATAAAATGAAGAAAGAGAGATGAGAAAATGATACTAAAAAGAAAAATGAATAAAAAATAGCTAGGCACACAGGGAGAATTAGGGACCCACCCCTCTCAGAAATGGTAATTTTCGGTCAGAAATTCGGTTTTGAGATACGCACATGGAAAGATAGCCTAAAGCCTGAAGAAAGCCTGATAGCTGAGGTGTCTACTTTCAGAATCTGTATCGCTTTTGGTTACAAAAATGGTTTTTTTCGCGGATTCTGAACAAGTTTTCTAGAAGACTCGAAAAACCGGATCTTCAAATAATAGTTTTTTCCCAGATAGTTATGCAATTAAAATTTTTCTAAACACAAACGTTTCTGATCAAAATAAGACCTCGCACAACTCTGTATGACCTTGCATCAAAACGTTACAGGCATTTTTCTAGAAGTCCTAAAATTGGGTATTTTATACAGCGTTTAATACAGCGTTTTCTCTATATAACAGTCACACCTTGAAGTATTTCCTAAGATTTTTTATAGCGGTGTGCCGCAGAGAGTTTATTCTTTTTTGGTTAAAAAGAGAAAAAGAAACTACATGGATTGACCGGCGCCGTTTTTTTGAATTAGGCCTTAGTTTTTTGTCAAACTGAGGATTTTTAGAAAGCTCGGAAGGATTTTTTGGATTTTAGAGGTTGTTGGTTGCCTGGAAAATCAACAAAGGCTTAACTGAAAAACCGACGTCGCTCAATCCATGTGGTTAGGTGTGCAGCTTAAAATAAAACAAACTCGGACTCTCCAGCTTGAGGTATATTAAAAAATCTTGGGAAAAACTTCAAAGCCTTTTTGGCTCTAGATCTCTGGAAAAATTCTAAACCGTAAGACTTGGAAACATAAAAACTTTTTCATTCTCGTAACTCACTAAACCTAACATTTAGGAAAAGTTTCGTCAAGATCGGATGTACGGTGTCGGAGATAATTTCTGAGGGGCTGCCTTAGAGCAGAATAGAAAATAGAAAGACAAGACAAGTAGTAAACAAACAATACCGGTACCAATTTAAAATAAATACCATATATAGAAAAGAGTACACACCCAACTACGGATATTAGAGAAATAAGCTAGTTTCACAGTTGCAATAACAAAAAAGTAGAGAGAGAAGAAAACAGTTACATTAATTATGTTCTATAAATCCAAACCATTTTTGATAACAGACATTCGGTTAGTTCCCGTTTCGTCGAAAGTTTAATCAATATTCTTGTTTCGGTGAAAAAAATTTTAGAGGTTTTTTTCTAGTGTTCCTATTTTGTCGAAAATAAAGCTTTAGCTGTTCCTGTTTCGTCGAAAAATAAAACCGTATTCTAAATGAAGTAGAATATAGATTACTGTGTACTGTAAGTACCTAAAGGGTCGTCAGTTTTTGGCAAAATAAAACAAGTGTAAATATAGATTACTCTAAAAAATAAGGTTTTTTTAAACAGACTAATTAAAAACAAGACTGAATTATTCTAAATGAATCTGTTGAAAAATTATGCGTATATTTTTAGAGAAAGAAACAATACAAATGATAAATAAGTGAAAATGAAAATTCTTTTCGTCATTTGGATAATGGTATTATTTCTTCTCTATATATTTTTTATAAATAATAATAAAAAAAATTCTTAAAGCGCCCACCCTCACTGTTGAAAGATATACGGTGATTTCTCAAAAGTGGTTGAATTTTGAATTGAAATTTTGAATGAAATTTCCCACACCTTAAGTTCAGTCGTCTAATAGTACCAGAAATATAGATCCATCGAATTATCAAAGCTGATTTCTCATAATTCGGCAAACGACTTCAAAAACATTTTAAAGGTTAAGTAGTGAATTAAAGAAATCACTCGAAAGCAAAACCACAATCAAAACGATGGTATAAATTGAGAAATACAGAGTAATTACTATAATCAAATTATTACGAGAGGAAACTGATAAAAAACCGTCATCACAAGTACAACAGCAAACAATAGATATAATAACTCAACAAACAATTTAGAATTTTAGCAGATCATGTTCAGCCAACTGATGATACTCTGTTGAAACGTAATTAATAATAAAAACGTCATGATCATTTCGATACATTAACTGCACAAAAAATGATTTGATTCAGCAACAAAAAGCATTGTTTCACAATGGCAACTATTAATTCTCGGTTTGATAATGTCAGTCAAGTGTTATTGTCTCAGCTGACCGTATCATCTTCAACTTTAAATCCAGCAGCACTGACATTTTCTGTGTATACATCTATCCGGTCACCAAAATCATCGATGCCATTACGTAACGAAAGACACTACTACATCATATCATCAATCACATTATTACTGCCAACTACCACTCAACCGTCTAATAATAAAAGCAAAAGTTTTCGTTTTGTTGAAAATAAATTACATTTACAAATAAAAACTAATTAGCATGTAATAGTCAGAATAAGATTTAATTTCAAATCCAAATACTCAAATGCATCTACGAGCATTGACGGTTTATACAGTAGACGATGTTGTTGATGAAATTAATAATAATAAATTTTATGATTTATTGAAAGATTGTGATGTATGTACTTTATTTCTTGGTACTTACGATGTTTGTGATACCTAGTTTAAGAATCATGCCGTGAGTGCAAGAGCAAAGTGCGACCACCTCATGAATTACAAGTGTTTGTTAAAAACTGTCATATCGAAAGTCACGGTAGCTAGCTTATGTTGACATATCACCGGATCGAAAAATTTTAAAAGCTTGTTCGGTCAAAACCGATTGCAGATTCGTCTTCTCCATGGTTGATTATGCGGTACGCGATAACTTCTGGATCGGGGTACTTTAGAAAAAATTTTCGACATCGTTTTGCCTTTGGTCCCATACGGTAACATTCTGAAAAATTTTTGAGCAAGACCATGGGAAAATTTTTTTCTAAAGTACCCCGATCCAAAAGTTATTGCGTACCACATAATCAACCATGGAGAAAACGAATCTGCAATCGGTTTCGACCGAACAAGCTTTTGAAATTTTTCGATCCGGTGATATGATGAGCAAGTTTTATGACTCGCGCGCTATCGCGATAAGACAAACTGTCTGTTCACTAGCATCCAAAACTGTTACTTTCAGTAATAGGCGTGTTTCACAATCGCGAAGTAAAACATCAAGATTTCTTAGCGATCGCGTTAAGAGTTAGCGAATTTATTGCGATCATGTCGCGACAAGCGCATGACCGCGGTATGAGTAAGGCAAGAGTGTTGACTTGCGTCCTTAAATTTAAAAGAATGTATAATTTTATCAAGAGACCGACCAATTGTTCTTGAACAGAGGACATTTCGGGTTATCGATTCGTGTAAAAACAGAATTTTATTTTCTAAGCTCCAGAGCGATTCTTCCGAAAGATTAAGAATTTTTTTCTGTCAACTAAAGTTGACATCAAGTCTCCTCTTTCGAATGGTCGAACAAGAAGATCGCAGGTCTGTTTAA